ATGATTTTTAAAATACTTGTAAAATACTGAAAAATGCACATAAACTAAAAGCCATGATAAAAGCTTTGACATTTGGATAGCTTTCTGGTGGTGCTGAATTTTTCTGCTTCTCCAGCTGCTTTGATTGGTCAAATATGAATACAGTACAACACACTGGAAGAACAAACATCAAGGGCAAATTACACTTATAGCCTCTGTAAATTATTTTACATGGTTATAGATAATTTGAAAGTGTTAGCATCTTTACCGTACTACTTGAGAAAGTAAGGCTTATTTAAAACTGATATTATTAGTCTTTTAAATGTGCTAGAATTGTGACTTCACTGTATGTTTCACTGACATTTTAAAGAAAACTATAATTAACAATAAAATTATTCCATTCAGCCCTTTAGGGTAGTTTTAATCATTTGAGGTGTAATGTAAACTTGTTTGTTATTCTTCATATTGTGAACTACTAAAAAATACAGCCGAAAGCCAAACCCAGACATTATTTCTTGGACTTACGATTAACTTTTCAGGGCCATCCAAGATTTAGGAAACCATTCCTGTGTGCAGTGTCTGGTCTGAAGGAAAGGACATGAGAGCAAAAATGACTAATGTTTGGTTAACAGATTTTACGAAAGGAACTGTCTGGAACAGATTATGTCTGTGTTTGCACTAAACACAGATTAAACACTGCAACCTCAAATAAATACATATTTTAGGCTGTTTCTTATTGAAGTGACATAAATGTCAACTTCGAACTAAAAAATAAACCATATAAAACATTCAGTCACAAACTAAATATGAGGACACAAAGAAATCAAGAGTGTGTAATCAATATAGTAAATGTAAGATATAAAAGTAATCAAATAAAGTGATTAAAAACAAACATGATTGCAACCTATCACAGCAATTTTCCTTAGCTATGAGAAGTATTTCAGTTTTTAAAAATCTGATTGTTTTGTTTCTTGATCCACAACTTTAATGTTTTAGTTTTATAAAAATAGACCATCAATAATCTATACCAGATTACCGGTCATGTTTCTGCCCCTTCTGCCATAGTTTTCTGTCTTCACGCTTTGTTTTTGCGCCACTGTTCATATCAAGCTCTGCTCCTGTCACTCTACACCATGCCCCCTCTTTGTTTCACCTCAGTAAACAGCCTTCATCTAATGCACCTGTTCTGCTCCTTATTTAAGACTCAAGTTCTCACTCACTTGTTGCCAGATTATCAAACTCTTTTTGATAGTAGATGTCCAGCATCCATGCCATAGTCTCATCTGCCTGTCCTGTTTTGACCCCATGCCTGTCTCCTGGATTTCTTGCCTTGTCTACCCCTTGCCTGATTTGGATTCTGCTCTCTGACCATGGTACCAACTCTGCTTGTTATTATCACAAATATGCCTCACGGATCACGTTTTAGATGTAGCTTTGGATTTTTGCTCTACGGTTCTTGACCCCTGCCTGCTCTATTGGACTTCACCCCTGGACGATTCTGAAAACTACACTCTATACATAGTCGTCCCTCTCTGCTGCAGCTCTCTCACAGCATGTGACATCAGCCTGAACAACTCTCTGAAGGAGCCCCACCCTTACCTGAGTGTGAAGGTTGGTGACTGCCACAACAAACCTCTGAACCTTCACAGCAAAGCCCCATTTACTAATCCTTAATTACTTACTAGTCCTGTCCCTCGTCTATTCCTCCCAGGCAGATAGCCACAGCCAAAGTGGTTCAAGGCAACAAAGTTCATGCTCAATCATCCAAGTACCAAATCCAATAATTCTCAGTTGGGTCATCTGGATAGTTTATTTTTTATAGAGATGTTTCGCCCTCTATCCGGGGGGGCCTTCATCAGTCAGAGGAGTTCCAGTAAACTGTTTCCCCACCAAGCAGTAAACTCCTTAAGTGGACCAACAAGTTTGCTGGAGCTAAGATGGTTTCTGAGGGCCGTCCTGTCCCTCGGCGACTCCTCTCAGGCAGGCAGCCACAGCCAAAGTGGTTCAAGGCAACAAAGCTCATGCTCAATCATCCAGGTACCAAATCCAATAATTCTCAGTCGGTTCATCTGGACAGTTTCTTTGCACCACTGCACCCTGTATTCACTGGTCTGTTGCCTTCATACATCTCCTCCTACATGTCTCTGTGTGAGTGCAGCTACAGCGTGCGCTCTCAGGACATTATTACCTGCAGTGTTCCCTCAGTGAGGACTGAAGTAGGCAAAAGGGCCTTCTTCTACTCCGCTCCTGTATCCTGGAATATCTTGCAAAAAGATCTATGTGGCTTTAAACATCTAAGTTCATGGCAAAAGCTAATGCAGACATGTTCCTGTTTTAGTATTCTACGTCGCTTTACATTATAGTGTGTTTCATTTTGTTTTAATGACATTTTCTTTCATTTATTCTTAATTTCTATGTTTTCTTTTGATTGTCTACTGTTGTCTTGTCTACTGTTATCATTCTTAACAGGTCTCTCTTGAAAATGAGTCCCCAAGGCTCAATGAGACTAATCTGTATACATAAAGGTAGAATGTCCAGAGGAGGGATAGTGAGTATATTGGTAGAAATGCAGCTGCCAGGAAAAGAGAAATATAGATGCAGTTAGAGAAGACATGGAGTTTGTTAACGACAGAGGATGCAGAGGACAGAGTGAGATGGAGGAAGATGACTCTCGGTGGTGACCTCTGAAAAGGGAGCAGCTGAAAGAAGTTTAAACAACTCTTCTCCTGCAAACCTCCAGAACATGAATTAGCAGCTAAAGAAACACGGTAGACAAAACAGAGTTGCGAATGGATATATAACAGTTTTCTTTGGACAATGATGTAACTTACCACTTCCAATTTAAAAATGAAAAGTCTAGCTTTCATTGAAGGAGTACATATCACCCATCACTTTTCATTTCACAGTTTTAAACGTGTGCTGAGAAGTGTAGCGGGTAGAAGTTGTTTTGGTCCAAACTTGTAAATTATGTGCTCTAATGCAATGTTGCAAAATGTATTTGTTCAATATTCTTCTTTCCTTTCATTCATTCATTCATTCATTCATTATCCACAGCTTCCTTTCTGGGTCGCAGGGGTTGCTTGTGCCCATGTCCAGCAGTCACTGCAAAAGAGGCAGGGTACACCCTGGACAGGTCGCAAGTCCATCACAGGGACACATAGAGACAAACGAGACAAACAACCATTCACACTTATGTCTCAAGTTCTACCACACCAAAATTATCCCAATGGAAAACAAATATTATTGGGTTTTATACAGTCAGCTAGCAGTGGTGGCCGTTGGAAATTGGGTTGACTCCAAATGTTAATGAGTTGTAGACTAACCAAGTATTCAGCCATTACTTCCTGAGCGTTTCATCACATTATTTTAGGTGGTTCATGAAATACTTTGCTAAAAAACAGACAGTATGAAACTCCAGTAATTAATGTCAGTTTTAGAAACAGATCAGCTAATACTTGGAGTATGTGTTGGAAATGACACTTCACCTAATATCAAACCAAGTTTTAGTTCAACATCTGTAAAACTGACTGACTTATAGCCGTTCAGTGTTTGCTAAGGTTGCTTAGTTGTGGTGGCCATTTCAAGTGGAGTTGACTCCAAATGTTAATCAGATGTAGATGTATGGCCAATTATTCCTTTCTAAGTTTCTGTCCAGTGATTCATGATAAATTTAGCTAATTCTATAGACAAACATACAAAGACACAGGCAAAAACATTTTTGACTATGCGTTTGGTGGCAGGAGACAAAAGTAATCAAGGATTCAAGGTTCTTTATTTGTCATTCCACCACATGTGGTGGAACGAAATTATGTATACAGGGTCCCAGTTACATCCAACAAAAGTATTAAAATGTAAAAGAAAAACAGTAATAAGATCAAAGGTATGAACTAAGAAAAACGTTAATAAAAATACACTAAGCACTAGTAGCATGTGCAAGACCAAGTATGTGCAAGACCTTGCTAAAACTCTCCAAACTATGACTGTGGATGCAGAAAATGAGGGTTTATTTCAAGAGAAAGAAATTTTTAAAATATAAGAATAATTTTTTCATTGTTATACAAAATGCTTTTTTTGCTATTATGGTGGTTTTGGGTGCATGGAGTGTCTGCCAGATTTTGAAAAATCTGCAAAAAATGTATATACTGAGTTAAAAATTTAGGTAAAAGTTTTCCGCGCATGGAATGTGTGTCTAAAGATGGTTCCTGAGAATGGTATGTGTGCAGAGTACCGGACTGCACTGTGAACAATTAAACCCAGGTGTCAGCTCTCAGTACGCATTGATGTTGTGATGGAAGTCCAACGAATGAAAAAAAGATTTATCCATTTTCTCCCCCAATGTTCTTCACCTTCATTGAAAGTATCAGTAAGACGCATTTCTGGACAATTAGCGGTATCGTTTCACTATTGATTGTAAAGTAAATCTGTACCCTAAGGAGCAGGAATTTAAAGTGTGTAAGAGGAAAAATGTAAGGCACTAAATAAAAAGCATGATTCATACCTCATACACACATATGGGATCAATTGGATCGCCTTCAACTTACCATTGCCTAGGTTTTCTTTTTAAAACAGTGGAAAATACCATTTTTCCCTCAAGTATTATGCAAGTCTGTCTTGGTTTGTTTTTAAACCTATTTTGTCATATTTTCCTAAGTCTGTTTTAGAGATTCATCAGTTCAACTGGCAGACAGAAATTGCTTTTGCGTTTTTTTTCCACAAGACTTTCTCTCCTCTATTAGATTTATTTTTCCAGGACTAGCTTTCCAAGCTTCATGGGATGGTTTTGCTCACAAATACTCACAAATAATTGTATGAGGAGGGAGGGAAGTCCCAGGGATGCACAAGCAACATATTTGGAATCATTTGCAAGTGGACATAGGAGAAACTGTGCAGTTTTTGTTGCACCTGCTCTTAATTAGGTAACAGCACTTTTTAAATTCATACAGATCACACCCTGACTCCCATCTTCTCCCTTCCCTCCCCTTTCTTTTTCAGTCTCTCCATCAACCCCCATCACTCCTCCCCCTCGCTCCTTCTTTGTCTCTAAATTTTCTCCAGAGACTTCCAGTTTTTGAACACCACACTGTTCTTACCTCCTGGCCTTCAGTTCAAGAAAGCAGCACAGGTAAGCTTAGCGTGGATTTGAAATTTCCTGTTTAAATATTCATCTTGATTCCTTTTTTTCTGGATGGACGCTTTGAGCTTCGGGGCATAGGCTGGCACTACACATCAAAAATATTTGTGCATGAAATATGAATATGAGAGTTGAACCATATGCATTTTAATGGCTTAGCCTAGAACTTACAGGTTTATACAGATGCCGTTTATGACTTTGAACACTTTTGGATCCTGGTCTTTCTGCATTTTTCAGGAGTCTGGAAGTAATCAAGCTGCAGTGCAGGGTTGAGTTTCTGCATCTATCATCATGAACTAATGATTCTTTAGATTATAGTGTCCTATTTATTGTAGATCAAAATCATTGGCCAACAAAACTGCAAGAGTCATAACACTTAAAAAACAAAAACAAAGCAAAACATTGGTGGGATATGTTTTGGAAAATGTGTTGCACACTGGCTTTTAAATCTGCTGCAGTTTAATTCATGATGCATCTGTATGCATCTGTAAATGTTATGGAAGTATGCACTGCAATTTGTTTGACATGGAAACTCGTCTACTTATAAAATTCATTAAAGTGTGGGTGTGGCCATTGTGCATGTTGCAGGGCAGGTTTGAAAGTGCACCCATGTGCATATTTCACCAAATATAACTATAGTTGCTTATAAATTACTTTATTAAAACAGTTTGCTAAACTTAGAACTACTAAATAGCCACGTTTTTTCATTAGGCATCTGTCTATAACAGGGTTTTCAGAGAAGGTGTACATTTTATAAAAGGGTACGATTCAGCATGTGTTTCTTTGTCCCTTTAACTTTTTCATCTTATATCTTGCCACCCTCTCTTCCCTTCTTCCCCCCTACAGAAGCCATGTTTTCCCTCCACATACCCATCTTGGCTGTTCTGGTCAATCTTGCCCTGTGCCAGTATTATGACTACGACTACCAGCCAGTTTCCTTGCATGGGCCATCAGGCTCCAACTGTAATCAAGAATGTGACTGTCCCATCAATTTTCCAAGTGCCATGTATTGTGACAACCGTAAGCTGAAGTTTGTCCCTGTAGTTCCAACTGGGATCAAATATCTGTATCTCCAGCACAATAATATTGAAGAAATCAAGGCAGGAGTGTTTGATAATGTCACTGATTCCCTGCGCTGGCTGATACTTGATGACAACCAACTTACCAATGCTAAGATAGAAAAGGGCACGATTGACAAACTCACTGCTCTGGAGAAGCTATTCTTCAGCAAAAACAACATCACAGAGCCAGTCATCCCTCCCTCAAAGGTCCTGGAAGAGCTAAAGATGATGCACAACAAGTTGACCAAGTTCCCTTCCGGACTCCTGTCAGACAAGGAAAACTTGACCTCCATCAACCTTCAGCAGAACGAGCTAAGCTCTGAAAGCATTGGAGATGCATTCAAAGGGCTGAAGAAGCTGCTGTCCCTGGATGTGAGCCACAACAAGCTGAAGAAACTGCCAGTTGGACTTCCTAGTTCACTGGAAATCCTCTATGCTGATTACAATGACATTGATAAAGTTGGAGCGGGATTCTTGAAAAAGCTGCCCTCACTTCGGTACCTGAGGATCTCCCACAACAAGCTGCAGGACTCCGGGATCCCCTCTGGAGCATTCAATGTGACTTCACTGCTGGAGCTAGACCTATCCTTCAACAAACTGCAGTCTATTCCCGAAGTCAATGAGCAGCTAGAGCAACTTTACCTGCAGGCCAATGAGATCAACAGTAAGTGTTGATTTTTACTCAGTACAGTATTTTAAAAGTTGGTCTAAACAGGAGAAATGTTTTCCCGAACCAAGAAACAAGTCCAGTTACATTTAGTTCAAGTAGTTGGAATCAACAATAATCCTAAATGCTTTTAAACTAAGGTTTTAAAACTTTCTCAAAGATGAGCAGTTTTTGTCACATTTTCTGTCATTTATGGTACAATGTTGGATGTTTACACTGAAGATGGCCACATTTCAAATAGTCAAGTCAAGTCAAATGGATTTCTAAAGTGAATTTCAAATCAACAGGTCATTACAAAAGTGCTGAATAATAAAATACAAAGGCAGACAAATTAATTTAAAAGCATCAGAAGAAAATAAACATAGAACACAGAACAATAAAATACTAAAACAACTCACTCGGTTTAAAAAAAAATCTGCAAAATCTGATGGGTTTTTAAAAGAGATTTAAAAACAGGGAGTGCGGAGGCCTGTCTAATGTTGGGGGGGGGGGGGGGCAGATTGTTCCAAAGTTTAGGACCCACGACTGAAAAAGCCCGATCACCTCTGAACTTCAACCAAAAGCAACTGATCAGATGATCTCAGCACTCGAGAAGGAACATAAGGTTGAGGTAGGTCAAAGAGATATGACGGTGCGAGGCCCTTTAGGCATTTATAGGTCATCAGAATTTTAAAACCTATTCTGTAGTGCACATGGAGACAACGAAGGGAGGATAAAACTGGTGAAATATGCTTGACTCTACGAATTCCCAAGAGCTGAGTTGCAGCATTTTGGATGAGCTGGAGATGTGAAAGGGAAAACTGACTGACCCCAATATAAAGTGCATTACAGTAATCAAGTTGGGTTGTATTGAAGGCATGGACAATTTTTTCCATGTCTGGTTTGGTCAACACTGACTTAAGATTAGTTATTTGCCTTAACTTGAAGAAGCTTTTCTGAAAAACAGAGCTATCCGTTTATTACACAAAATCAGAGTCTAAAATCATCCCCAGATTTATAACAGATTGTCTGAAATATGACTCAAGAGGAGGGCCATGGTTTACTGGGAGAGTGTCAGCAGTAGAGCTAGGGCTGAACCCAACTTCAGTTTTCTTATTGTGAAAACTCAAAAATATTTGAAGCCATCCAAACCTTAATGTCATCAAGACATTTCAACAGAGGGTGAATGGAGCAAGAACTATTATTAGGTGTAAAGGGCAGATAATTCTAACTATCATCAGCATAACACTGAAACGAAAGTCCATGTTTCCTCAGGATAGACCCCAAAGGAAGCAAGTGCAATGAAAACAGAAGCAGCCCAAGAATCGAGCCCTGCGGAACCCCACAGGGAAGAGGTGCTGAAGTGGGTCAAAAATTATCAACATCAACACAAAAGGTTCCGTCACTCAGATAAGAATGGAACCAATCTATTGCTGCTCCTGTAATCCCAACCCAGTACTCATTTTCACAACATTCATTTTTCACAATATGTAGCTAATTTACCAAACTGATGTCACACTGTGTATTTTGTTGTTGTGCATGTTTGTGGTGCTCTTCTGTTTATGAAATTTAGGCCTAAATATGTGGAGATTGATTTATGAAGTTGCTTGAATGTTTGATTTATGAACATTGAATATATGAAACAATATTAATAAGTCCATCTATCCATTATTTATCTTTACCCACTTCTTCCGTTCTCGCGGGGGTCACTGGTGCCCATATCCAGCTATTACTGTGTGAGAGGCAGGGTACACCCTGGACAAGTTGCAAATCCATCACAGGGCCATAAGTCATCACAAGTAAAAGTGTATACAAAGTCCAGCCAGTCAGATGAAAGTGTGTTTTTATGGAAGTAGGGAAGTGGAGTTGAGATGCTCGGCAAAACTGTTAATTTATTTTCACTTTATTTCAGGGTGAGTTGCATACCATTGTTCAACACATTGGTCTACAGTTTAACATTTCAGTCTAATACAGGGTGATAATTGGCTCAACCCCCTATTTGAAAGAAAAGGCATTTATTTTGATTTTGCTCATTTTTATCTCTGGTCCCTGAGTTCTTAGTTTTAAAATATCAGTAACATTGATCTCTCACAGTCTTTTCATCAAAACAAACCATTTTGTTTTACTTCCTCAGCTTGTTGTTTGCCCTAGTTTTGCTTTTTGCGCCATCTTTTGAACAGGAATGTGATTGGCTCAACATCGTTCGCAGATAAGTTGACAAATCGGCTAGCCAGGTAGGAGTGGTTCCATTTCAAGCGGCGTGTCAGTCGAGTACCGTCACAGATCCAGAAGCTAAACTGGTTAAACCACATGACTGGTGTAAACAAAACAGTTAATTGTTTCCAAGATCCACATTTTATAAAACAGTTAGCAAATTAGCTGAAAGTGATAAACAGTGCCTGTTTAGAACATGATTTATGTTCACAGTAAGGGATTTCTGGTATTTTTTTTATTTCTGTTTCACATGTATGTTGTCAGCTGTTAAAGGACATCATCCATGACTTAAGGTGACACCTTTTCCCACTGGAAAATGCTTTTCTCTCTAATGAAGATTCCTTCCATCCATCATCTTTACTGGCTTTTTCCTTTTAGGGTCACAGGGGTCACTTGTGGCCATAACCGGCAGTCACTGTGCGAGAGGCGAGGTACAGCCTGGATAGGTTGCAAGTCCGTCACAGGGCTCTATTCAAGACTGTGTACAGCTATTTTAGTGGAGTACTCAAGTAAAGTTATGAAAATTTCCATTGCATTAGGTCCACTTAGTACAATTTGATAAAATCTAGAATGTTTGCCTTGAGTATTCATAATGCTGCACAAGAATTGAATGATTTGGCTTTTTTTTTTTTTACGCAAACCTTACTTAAGAAAATCAATTCATCCAACAATAGTTTGATTTCTAAAAAGCGGGCATGGCTCAGGGATTGTACCAAACAGATTTAGCGTTAAGGGTTTGGACATCCGCACTGAAGCACAGTTATTTTTAACCATTACTCCCCCCGAGCAGATAAAGATAACAGCAGTTGAAATGCTGTTTTTCCCTCAACAAATAGTTGTTTTTTTTTTGCCATTTTCTGCATCTTTGAGATGCTTTTGTACACTACATTGTAGTGGCGCATTCTTACAATAGTACCACCAGATGCCTCCAACACCAACCTCTGGGACCTCAAAGTGAAGCTACATGCTAGAAGATCACACCAAGCAACTGTATAGCAACGTGCAAGCGTGATTAGTTGGCATGAGGTCTAGCATGCCAACTCCTATTTAAACTTCAACGGCCAAGTCACACTGGTACACCAAGGTCACATCATAGATACTTTGCTGCCATGAGCCACATGCTACACCCAGGACCCAGTTGCCACCATGATAATCACTCACCATGAACTTGCTGTATTTATGACTTATCACGTGTAATGGGGTATCCACCATGTTACGAAGATCTTGCTAAGATCCTCTACAGACCATCCATGTTCTGGCTGATTTTTTCAAACATCATAGCAGTGTTATGATTCAGTGTGAAGAGGACCTTTAGCCACACTAGATAAATGTTTTACATGAGATGACTCAGGCATGTAAAAGATAAATATATTACTCTGTATTTGGTCAAAACTTCTGATGTCCAGTTGTAAAATGGTCCATTTGAATGTTTGTTTTTTATCATCTACAGAGTTCGACCTGGCAAGTTTCTGCAAGTTCACTGGACCCCTCAACTACTCACGTCTCAAGCATCTGCGTCTGGATGCCAATAACGTCACACATGGCAGCATGCCCCCCGAATCTGCCAACTGCCTGCGTCAGGCTTCAGACATCATGTTTGAATAAAGGCCGCCACCAGATCGACGAGTCCGCTTTCTGCTGCCACGACAAAGCTTAGAGCGCACATGACCGTGCACTTGTGACACAAGCATTATGGAAATATGTAAAATTGTTCATGTTGATCGTGGTAATTTGTTTAAAGATGCAATAAAAAGGAATGATGTCAACTGTTTTCAAAATCCATGTGTAACATATCCAGAAATGTGTTCAACAGATTTATCCAAACGAGCATTCCAAATATTTGTAATATTTGGAAGTACGACTGATATTGTCATCTTTGTGGAAACAAAGACAATATTGCAATAGACAATAAAAAATGGAAGGAGGTATATCATTGGTTGTATAAAAAAAAGTGCATGCTTACACACTTCAGACATTCCAAACTTGATTTGAGTTTTCCCAAATATAGACCCAACAGATATGTAACTTTGATGTTTCTTTTCAAAGTGTTATTTTGTTGCATGTTTCAATATGTTGCATGTGTGTTGGCTCAATTATTCAATAATTGCTGTGCAAAGAGCCAACTGTGGAGGACTGCATAAGTGAGAAAATGCAAAAAAAGCAGGGCAGACAGCAACATCTTGAACGTCTCAAACCGTTTTAAAAACCGTGTTCTGAATTCATGCATGCCTGCATTGTATTTAATCTTTTTAAACATTAACTGCTTGATGCCCAAATGACATTTTTATTACCAGTAAATAAACAACCACAGACTAAGAAATATTTGCTGTTTATGAAACCAACAATTATGTTTTAGGCAATAAATAAAATGCATCGATGTTGTGCCTAAAGTTGCATCCTATGTACACCATAGAAAACTACGTCAAGATTTTTTTTGTTTTTCTGTGTAATTTTCAGCTGTCATATTTGCACCCAATGGCTAAGTTAAACTTAAAGCTTTTGCAGTTAAAGTGCTTTTATTGTAACGCTGTTTGCCATGACAGATAAATGCTTCCTGCCAGCACTGCATCAATGTGGCTCCATTGTCATGTTACAGTAATTGATTTTATTCATACTTGATTATTGCATTTAGTGTTTATCTCTTCAAATTTGGGGCCTTTGACTGGAATTGACTGGGAAAAACAAATATGACTGAATGAACTTTGTTTTTAACGGATTTGTATCACTTCTTAAGCCTTCTATAATAATTTTTGGTGTTCATGGAAACTTAAAATTATAGGTAAAACACTTTAGTCTACATAACCTTGAATGTTTTCTTTCTTTCTTGACTTCTTTGTTTAAAATTGCTATTTGTAAAACATGCTTTATAAAAAGTTCAATTTGTAATTCATGGCTTTTTTGTGTCACAAGATGAATTTATAATGGTTTACAGAAGGATAAACAGAATCAGGTGGTAAAATAAAAGACTTGAATTATAGCTTAAATCTAATATTTTATTAGATGAACAACAGAATATCATTGCAGTTGTCTAGATGTTTTTCCAAAGTAAAATAAATGTTGCCAATGATCAGAAGTTTAAAAAACAATATTACTGTTTCATAAACGTAAATTGTGAATGTTATGTAATTCAACATAATATTTTAATCTTGGTTGTTGAGAGCTTTGTATGTTAGAAGTAAGATTTTAAATTACCATATTTTCTGAATTTGACAGGAAGTCAATGGAGAAAAGCTACAACTGGAGAAATATGATTTCTAATTCTCATCCGAACTCTAGGAAAAACATTTCGGATCAACTAAATACTTTTAAAATGTTATTGGCCATCCAGATAATAAGCAATTGCAATGGTCCAATCTTGAAATGATAAGTGCAAGGATCAACTTTTCTGCACAAAATATTTCTAATATTAGTGATATTCTGCAGGTGGAAGAAAGCAATCCTGATAACATTTTGAATGTGGGGGTTAAATGAAAAGTCCTGATCAAAATCTGGTCAACGCTCTTTACATTAGAACTGGAGGCCAAATTCAGAGGAAGTGAAAGACTGCAAACCACGTTCCTGAGATGCTCAACTCAAAAACCACAACTTCTGTCTTCTCTGAGTTTAAAAGCAGAAAATTGAGACATCCAGGTTTTTATGACTCTAAGACATGCTTGTAGTCTAAATAACTGAAGGGATATATCAGGTTTCATGGATAAACATAAATGAGTAGCATCAGCATAACAATAAAAATGTATATTGCACTGTCTAGCAACTTTACCTAAAAGTAATGTACCAAGCATTGAACCTTGAGGAACTCCACAACTAACTCTGGTGTATGAAGAAGACTGAACAAACAGGAATTTATCATATTTCAAACCTATTCAAGAACAGGAACTTCAGTAAAACTGGCTGACATGTGCTGAAACCATTAATTTGCTGTCAGTTTAATGAATAAATCAGCAGTTGTCTGTTATGAAGTGTTGCAGTGATACCACTTGCTCCTGTCATGAAACACTGGGCTGTTTTTAAAAGTTTGCTTTAGCTAAACCTGATGTAGCAAGGAGGTAAAAAATACTCCTCCAACTTTCACCTCCATTAACACGTTAAGTTTGCTTAATAGCTTTTTAAAAACACATTTCACATGTTTTTATACCGTTTTATACTAATTTCTAATCTAGGACCATTTCCTCCTCTTCCGTGTTGCCCTAATTTAAATCCAGAGTAGAGCGCCTGCTGCTTGTGTCTAGACAATAAAGTCCTTCATAAAGCTGTAAGCCACAAATCTTCCCACTTGAGACGGTAGGTGAAAGTACAATCAGCTTCTGCAGCCCGGAGGCCTAACATCAAGGATCATCCTTCAGTCCAGACCTTCTCCATGTTGGAATTCGGATCATGTGTCCATCCATCATCAACCTGATATGTTTACTAAATTTTCTCTAACGATATTGTTTTTCATTTTACACTTGGTTCATGCAAAATCACTCATTTTAAAAATTTGTTACTTTTTGTTTAGATGAGCTTTATTGTATTTTTCAGTATTTGTGTAAATGTCTCCTCCAGCCTTTCAGCTATGAATACTATCATAGTATTGACGAGTCATAAAGATCCTTCACATTTAAGTCAGAAGATATGTACTTTGGAGGTTTTCTGGGCACTTACCACTGGGAAGATACCACAGGGCCAACCCAGGACTCAGTGGAGGGATTAAATATACTCTCTGTTATGGCAAAGACATGAGATCCTCCAGGAGGAGCTGGAGAGTGTTGCTGGGAAGACGGAGGTCTGAGTTTCTCTCTTGGACCTGCTGTCTTTGCGACTTGATCATTAATAAAAGGTAGAAGAAGGAGATGGTACATTCTTTCATGTAGATTCTCATCCAGTTTGTCATTCTCATTCCAGCATTCGGCAATCCTAAGTGGTTCAACAGAAGGCAACTTGATTTCTTGTCTTGTTTTATCAAGACCGTTCTCCATCCAAAAGATCAGGCTTCATAGAAATGTCTATGCTAAAATCTCACATAATGCATCCAGTGATGAGCTTTGCTTATCGTCTGAACAAGAATACGTGGACAAACTAATATACTGTATGAAATTGTATTCCAGTTGGGCTTAAAAACAAGAAGAAATATACGTGCTATTGGTTGAAAAATCAATGTGTTTATGCCTTTGAATAAATAAATTAGTTCAAAGGGACAATAAAATGTGTTCTATCAGATTGTACTAAATCGTAAAGTATTGTTGATATCAAAGTAGATTATATTTAGAGGATGAATGTGTCAAATTTTCTCAAATTACTTTGCCATTACATGCCATACTATCTGAAAGCCCTGCAAAGACAGATTTACAATTTGAGGCTTTAGACAGTGACCCCCATGCAGACATTCTCAGCGGTAACACTTCTGACAAAAATTATAGTTGTAAAAGAACGAGTGAATGTTCCATTGAAACCTGGATGTGAATGTCTGAGTACAAACCCTTAAGCTTTTCTTTAACCTCACCTGTCAGGCTAATAACACACCCCTAGGCCTGGGTTGAAATGAACCATAAAAATGGCCCCAGACTCATAGGTGAAAGGTATAACCCCCACAGAAGACCAAAAGGTCAAGTTGGGTGGAGCTGCAACACACAGAGGACCTCAGGTTTTACAATAAAATGGAGCAAACAAAGTGAAAAAGGTGGGGGGAGTAAACTGCTGGACATCCCCAAGACGCACAATCGTACTCCCACCAATAATCCATGCTCCATCCTCATGGTTCACCAGTGTGCAAGGTGCAGCGTTGAGAGAATTGAACATTAGTCCAACCAGGGACACCGAGAGCAGACAATCATCAGAACAGACCACCTGGCTGTTGGCAGATCCCTCGTGTCAGTGAAAAAGCAGGTAAAAAAAAAAAAGTGTCTTTATTTTATCATGAATCTGTTGGAGAGAGAAGGGACAAAGATTTAGTTAATTTTCTTATTTATGTGATTTGATTTTAATATTTTATGTGTTTTCTTTGAGTCATCTGCTTCATGGCTCACAGGTCTGGTTAAGCAAAAATATGTTCTCGCGTTTTGATGATAATTTTCACAATAAACTATTTATAGACAGTTTACTTGTGTTTTTTTTTTTTTTTTTTACATTTTATAGGAGGGAAGGTTCCTTTTTGGGGGGTTCTTAAACACCAAATCTCTTGGTAATCCATTTTTACTTCTAAACCTTTTGTTTTCTCGCATAAGATTTATTCCTAAACGTATTTTCTCTCAGTGTTAGAAACAGCACAACAGCGCTGACTCACCAAAGTTTCAAAGGCATGAGGTGGATTTTAGAAAAGCCTTTGACTGGAAACAATCCTGCAAACTCTTACAGTGCAAATAAAAGTCTTTGTGTAATTATAATCGCTGGCTCAGTATAAAAGACCCAGGCAGGAAATTAGCTCTGTATATTCCTCTGCATGTGTTTCTCCTTAGTCTGTCAGGCAGATTGTTCTCAATGCTTGTTTTTAGTAAACATGCATTCCATTTTACAGAGCTCTGTGGAGCCCCGAATCAACAGTTTCAGCATCAAATTTACACTCAATAAGTTTTTATACTTTTCTACTGTGCATGTAACATCTAAAGTAAAGAAATGTGACATTTGCATTAGTATTTCTCAAATCTTTACTAAGTTTAGCATACTATATATGCTTCAACATATTTAACTATATTTGATTATTCTTCTATCAGTTTGCATATCAGTGAATTACTTACTCTCATAACACTATGCAACTTCTATTTACCTATAGATACAAATGATGAATTCATAAAATGCAGAGACATACATCAAGCTTTTACAGTATTGCTAATAGTCTTATCAGCCTGATGCCATCGGTGTTCTGACTTGAGCTGAAACTCTCTTTTATTAGTGGGGATGTCGTTCTCTGATACATCAATGGTTGAGGTGGTCTTCTATTTGGAGGTGTTGGTTACAAGTATTAACTGTTGGGAAACCCTGAACCCCCAGTTTGATCATTTGTGGGTGATTATAGAAAAAAAATGCAATAAATAGCTCAAATTTACAATGAGAGTTTGTATTTCTGTAAGTTTAAGGATTATGTAGTGTTAAGTTCTTCCATCCATTGACTATGGTGACATTATTTATATGAATGCTCCTGCAAGCACCCTGCAGATGGACGCTGTCTATCATGGTGCACTAAGATTCATAACTGGCTGGAACTACCATGCCCATCACTGCACCCTGTATTCACTGGTCAACTGGACATCATTAACTTCACGCAGACTCTCTCACTGGTACATTTTCATCTTTAAATCACTTCTTGGTCTGCTGCCTCCATACATCTCCTCCTACATGTCATGTTGTCAGTGCAGTTACAGTGTGCGCTACCAAGACATCATTACCTGCAGTGTCCCATCAGAGCTAACCAAATTTAGCAAAAGGGCCTTCTCCTACTCCACTCCCGTTTCCTGGAACACCTTGCAAAAAGATCTGAAGATCTCGACCTTGACCTCTCTAAGGGATTTTAAACAACTGTTAAGTTCACTAAAAAACCAATGCAGATATGTTCCTGTTTTTAGCATCTTACACGGTTTATAATGTAACATGTTTTTTTATTTTGTTTTATATCACTTCTTTTATATACTTTTCATTTTATATGCTTTCACATGAATGTTTATTGTTATGTGTACCTCATTTATGGTTTTTGTTTAAAACAGGTCTCTCTTGTAAATGAGTCCTCATGTTTAACAGTGAGACTAACCTTTATAAATAAAGGTTGCATGAATGAATGAAGTGTTCTACAAGTGTTGGACAACTTGAACTGTTTAAGTATAAATGTTGGTTAGTCAGTAGTTTTGTTGGTCTAATGTTTGAAATTCATTAAGCATTTGCCCATTGTTAAAAACAATAAATAAATGTACATGAATGCACCTGGTAAAACACTGGAGGAGCTCTAATGGGCTTGCATCGCTGATCCTGGATAAACGTTACTCCTGTCCTCACAAGTAAGCAGGGCTTATCCCGTTGCATTCCAGCTTTTGCCGTCATCACTAGAAACTGGGCACAATCTCATGCCTGCCTCTTGCAAGGTCACAAGTCTTGACGTTAGCTAGCTTCCGCAAATGAATTTGTGTTGCAATCCTCCAGTGTAATTCCCTCAGCTTAGGTTAGACCTCAGTTCTGTAAAAGCCTGACCGCTGATGTCTGACAGAAATGTTTTGCATTTTGACTGTGTTGTCTTTGTGCTTCAAGTTTCAGCACTAGCTTTAAAAGGTGAATTCATACACCTTAAGCTCAAATGTTCAGCAAAATAAATTAAATCAGATATACATCAATAAGCTACTGGCTTTATGAGGTACAGAATGGGGATTTTGATGAAAACCCTTTTGATGTTGTTTAGCAGATTTTTTCCAATACCGACTTAAAACCGAGTTTTAATGAAGTCAGAGAAGACCATTCAAGATTTAAATCTAGCCAATATAAGTTGAACAAGATGAATGAGATCAAGAGTCCCTCTTGCATATATCATAAGATCTTTGGCTCACAGCCCCAGCAGCCATAACCTACTGGTGGATAAATTCAGTCTACAGTGTGTTTGAGTGCATCTGTCTGGATATCACAATCTCATGGTTTGTATTTGCACACTTTGTGTTCCCTGTTGACTCTACACAGTTAAACTGTGTGATTTGCAGAGTAATTGAGTCTAATTGCATTGCTGATAAATGAAGCACAGAATTAGCACAAAGGTTAGCAGAGGGCATGGGGATTTGTTTGTTGACATCAATCGTGCCACTTTGGAGTGGGGCAAGGATTGTGCATGTGGCACTTAGCAGTCTAAGAACAGATACACCTGCGTAAAGTGGGCCATGTCTCAAGGACTGAAATACATAGCACGCCTCTTTGAGTTTATGACCCCTCGTGTCCGGGCCATCTGATTGGCTAAGAGAAGCCCTTGTGTCATCCTCAGTGTCCAGCTGGCACATGTTGAATGAAACAGCTGATGGTACAAATACAGGGAAGTGAGACACACATCTTTGTCATTTGGGACCACGCTTGGTAACTGTCTGAGAAAGGACCCATCAAAAAGAAACTTTTGGAGCTAAAGGTAAGAATACCTGCTAAAAAAAAAAAAGTGGGGGGGGCATGCTTCCATAAGTTCGTTGTTAAAGTTGTTTTATTTTAATCCTTTTTTTTTTTAATAATGTTTTCCATGCAAAATGTGCATTACAATTCATTGATGGATCCGAATTATTAAATTTGATGATGGTGTTTGCCGACAAGCTTCAGTGATGCTCTTACAGCTTGATGGTGTTACACGTGTAGCTTGTCACTATGCTGTGTATCCTAAAGGAGGAATGCAAAGCTTTAGCCGTTGTGACCAGCGGCGCAGCGCTGAAACGAGGTGAATCAGTTTTGTCTTTGAAGTGCACCCGTCCACAGAAAAGCTTGGCCTGCTCGAAATGAGTTCCAGACAAACATGGAGAGCACGAAGAATTTAAACGAAACCCAGATGGTAGCTCAGACAAACCAAGTAGAAGCTAACAAATGGATTGAAGGAATATGGGATTGCTTACCATGGATTATTTGCTTTTTTATGCATTTTTTGTAAATCATTTCCATTATTTGGATCCTTCTACATTCATTTTCTTTGAATTCTCAACAAATTGCGTATGGAGTTATGTTCATGCTTCAATTCATGTTTAAACCAACACAAATGAAAAAGGCAATGTGATAGCCTTGTCATAAGTGATGCAGTTATACAGACTTCTAGACAGTGTGTACTTGACTGATTGGCTAAATCTTTGACTCTACTAATGCAATTAAAGTTGACCTGGCTGTACATCCCATTACTTTAGACTAATCTGTCTGACCTTATATTACTCATGATGAAATTACCACTGGACTAGGGCTACTTTTAGAGACTGGGTGTTTTCAATAACATCTAATTCTTTTTTGATTGATTCTTATGATGCTAGCTGAACATTGAAAGTAGTTGCATATTAACGGTTACACAACATACCACCCTAACGTGACATTTTGCTCCTTTTGTGCATCATCCCATACTGCTTTACTGAGAGTTTTTCTTTTAATGCCGTTCTGTTCTACTGCATTTGACTACAATTTACATTTTCTCCCTTTTCTACCCCAGGTTGAGAAGAAAAATGGCCCTCCCACAGAAGCTTGTCTTTGTCTTGTGCCTGATAGGGCTAGTCTTCAGTCAAGACATGGCTAATGAGGAGCTAATGGTTCAGATCCAAGCCTGCCCTAAAGAATGCAGCTGCCCACAAAACTTTCCTCGTGCTGTCTACTGTGACAACAGAGGCCTGAAGAGCATCCCCAAAATCCCTCCTTACACGTGGTACCTCTATCTGCAGAACAATTTGATTGAAACCCTGCCACTAGATGCGCTGAAGAATGCAACGCAGCTACGCTGGGTGAACTTAAACCGTAACAAAATCACAGACAAAGGAATAGAAGGTTTCCTGAGTGCAATGACACACCTCGCACACCTGTACATGGATGACAACCTCCTGTCTTCTGTGCCATCTCCCCTACCAGCCAGTCTTGAACATCTGCGTCTCTCTCGCAATCGCATCTCCAAGATCCCTGCTGGTGTATTTGTTGGTCTGGAAAAGCTCAACCTCCTGGACCTCCAAGGGAATAAGCTGATGGATGATGCTGTGACTGAAGTGAGCCTAAAGGGTCTCAACAACTTGGTACAGATCAACCTAGCCAAGAACCAGCTGAGTCGCATGCCCCTTGGTTTACCACCCACCACCACTCAGCTTTTCCTTGATGGCAATAACATTGAGAAGATCCCAGCTGACTACTTCAAAGGTTTGCCCAAAATGGCATTTCTGAGGCTCAACAACAACAAGCTTGGCAGCAGTGGGGTTCCCAGAGATGTCTTTAATATCTCCAGCATTCTAGACTTGCAGCTGTCCCACAATCAGCTAACTGAGATTCCCATCATTCCCTCGGGCCTTGAACACCTTTACCTCGATCACAACAAGATCACAAGTAAGATTCGGTGTTGTTGTGTGTACAGTCCATGGAAGGAATTATCTTTCATGCATCCAGTCAGAGACATTACTGTCAGAGACATTACTGTAAGTCTTATCACATCATTTCGTTTTGTTTATTAACAGGTGTGAATGGCTCCAAAATGTGTCCCGTCTCCGTCGACTCTCTGGACAACTCACAGAATGAAAGCGTGCCTCGACTGCGTTTCCTCCGATTGGATGGCAATGAGATCAATCCACCAATTCCCAGGGATGTCATCATGTGTTTCCGCCTCCTTAGGTCTATTGTTATCTAAACAAAAAATCAACATTTACAAGCTAACTCAATTGTCCTCCTGTTATTAACTTGGTTTATATGCAGAACTGGATGCAGAGATTTGTAAAACAACACATATTTGTATGTTTGTCAAATATTCTACTTGACATTAACATATTTCATTGATTCATCACAAAAAGATAATTTTTTGGTGGAATTTGAAATATAAACCATTATCCTGATGGGTAAAAACTTAAATTCTGATCATTTATTGACCATTAGTTGTGCCTTATTTTATTATAAACATCCTTTGTACATGTGGAGTTCTGAATCAAATTGTGATACAGCTTAGCATGCAATTAAATAAATAAAGTGACAAAATGTTTTTATGAAATGTGATGATTTTTTAAAGACTGAATTTAAGTTTACCATTGAGCAGGAGCCAAACTTCTGAATATGTTGGCAAAATATTTTTTGACTACTTATTTTTTGTAGACTTGAAGCCAAGTCTTGTGTGCTAGTTTTATTGTCTGTTTATTTACTTTAAAAAAAAAGATAATCAACAAATATATGTACACTGTAGGTATTTTTTTATGTAATTCCATTGAAAAAATAACATAAAAATGCTAAATATTCATGCTTTGTACTGTACATAAAAGATCTGTCAACATTTGCCAACCCAGTTTTTAATTCTTGTTATTGTTTTTACTTTTTCTTTTTTTTTTCTGAATAAAAATGGTCTTTAATGTGAATAAAGCTTCTCTGGTTATAAATGTTATGTTGTCTTCTTGTTAAAAGCACTTGGCATGAAAAACGTCACTTCTTTCAAAAGTAATTTATATCCCTATGTTATTAAATTTAATAATTAACTTGAGGTTTCCAGCTCATTTAGTACTTTATATATATTTTGACAGTAAAGCACACTAATTGCCATCTAATATATTATACATATGAGTGATAATGAACACTGATTTCAAGAAGTTCGCAATTATGACTAACTTGTGTGTTATGAAATTACATGCAATTAAGTCTTTGTCCTAAATTAAGCTCTAGATTTTTATCCCTTTCCCCAAAATAATGCAACAATATATGAAGAATATGTTTATAGTTGTGTTTATGATTTAAAAAAAATTATGTACAAAATAAAACAGAACCTTCCACAACATTAAAAAAATGCTTTTGTGACCTCACAAATGCAGTTCTCATACCAAACCTAGCTTGTAGATGTGGATTATAAGTGTGAGTATATCCACTAATAAATGCTAATTAAATCCTTTCCAAAGCTCATTATAGTGGGGGATACTCTTGCACTCACAGAAGCAACGTTACATCCAACAACTTCAATAGTTTTTATTAGTTTGTGGTGTTCTCTAGTTCAAATGACAACCTCAATTTAAAACATTTAAACTAACGTTCTGAACAATTTGCAGTGGTAGTTATGAGCCTCCTAACTTCGTAGTATTTCATTTGAAAGTAAGTCAAAGGTTTTGTACAATGCGTTTTCTAGTCATCAACCATTGTCCAAAGAGGTTTCATTCAGTTTGCCTCATCTTTAACGGTCAACAGAAGAAAACCCCTGAATAGAAATCTCAGCTCGTATAGCAGGTGCAGTCTGATTTTCAGCTTTCCCTATCTTTCACCAAACAGTCTAGAGTTACATGAGATTAGTGAGTCTGAGATGTGGGCAAGTCGGGACAAAACCACATTTTTTTTGTTTATGAATATTAATCAAAAACTATCTAAGCAATCCTAATCCTACACAGCATTCCAAAAGAAAAGTCAGCTTAGATAATTTTCCTGCAGGTCAAACTCAACTTCTGTCACCACTGGACCCAGATCTGTACTTTTAGCACATCCCTGAGCAAGTGGCGACTCCAAGAGAAAGCTGTTTAATCCAAGAAGGAAGGAGGGCAGAGACCTTCCTGTGAGCTGGGACTTCCTCTCAGCTCCATGCTAACAGGGGCTTCGTACAGAGGTCCCATTGTGTACAAGAGCCCCACGGATCCTCTCATACATGAAAGCAACACATGCCAGAGCTTCACCTCAGGAAAAGAGGGACAAATCTTTCAGTCTGATTAAACTCTTAAATAAATAAAGGATACTCTTGTAAGGGATAATTCACTATTTCCTATTGGTGAAGGGAGGTGGGGGGTCTTTGCATTTCATTTCTCTTTATGTCCGATGTGTGTGTGTTTGAAATTCTTGTGTATGTGGGTGTACAGTGTAGGGGTGGGTGCACTCGGAGTGACCAAAAGCAACCTGCCCCGGTCCAATCAGCCTCAGTGCCTACCTTCACACATAAGCGGCAGGGCACTCCGGTCCACCAGAGCGCACAGACCTACACATACACACACACCTAAAACACTTGTCACATCCACAAAGCAACACACACATTGCACACACACATACACACACTCCCACCTACAAGGTACCCTGTGCGACCTCTCACCACTGGTCAAGTCCCAGAGTCCTCAGCATCTCCATCACGGCTGAAGGGACCATTTGGAAAGCAGGAGACGAGGTAAGTGTTCCTGATGCTACACTGGCTAAGTGGCTCTTTGGTGCAAGGGGTTAGGCAGACAAAGGTGCATGACTAACCCGTTTAAAAACAATGGGTTTTAGGGTTTAAAAGGGAGCTGCAACAATAAATGGTTGGAGATGCTTTGATTTATTTTCTGGCGTGCTTTAGAAGTTAAATCACTTGCCTTTTTATTGTATTGTACTGTCATGGCTGCTGTTTCAAGCAGGTGTTTGATGACATCTAACTGTTGAGCACATCCCGTGACTTAATTTAGGTTAATTCAATTTATCTTCTTTAGATTCTCATATCTCCACGATAAGTTTGCTGCAAATTTCATTAACATCTTGCACAGTGTTTTTCTTTAAAGCATATTTAAATGTCACTTTGTCACAAGATTTTTACAAAAACCTTTTTTTTTTTTTTTTTTAATTGTCTTTTGATCTTTTTGGTGCAAAGGCACCATATTGTTCCGCAACCTGCGGCGAGAGGACATCATGGAGTTTGCTTGTGGTTTTCGAGAGGGAACGCTAGAATCACAGCATATCAGGCATGCCCGGTGTGTAGCCAAACATAACAAGGAGGCAGTCTGGAGGCAACACACAAACACAGTTTCTACACACTATACGCTGTGATGGCCTGTGTAAAAGCAAACCTCTGTACCGTCTTCAGTGTAGTCCTTTCAGTCAAACTGTGCTGGACTTCTCCTGATATGCCAACTTGTTCTTTTTTAAATGCAGTGCATTGGGTTCACATTGTAGACTGAGCAGAGATTGGAACAAATAAAACTATCATCCTCTGCTATCATCTATTCATGACTGAAAAGCTGGAAACATGTTATTTTTGGTTCAAATCCATCCTGAATCTAAAATAGCAGCAGAGGTTTTGCATTTTCTCTCAAAGATAGAGTGTAAAGACATCTTTCCAAGTGTATGCATAAATAAATGTTTGTGTGTGTGTGTGTGTGTGTGTGTGTGTGAGCACCATCCCTTGTGAATTATTTTTTTCCTTGCAGCAGTAACTTGCTGCCCTGTCCACAAACCTCGATGGAATTTGGAGTTGGAGTGCTGAGACAGGCTGCGACCGGCCTCATAAAGGCTCTCTGTACAGGGCGAGGGGTCAGGGTTAGCTTAGAAAATCCGTCTCTCTCGTTTTCTCACCTACTTGTCCTCTCCTATTCATTTCCCGCCTCTTCGCTCTCTCCATCTCACCCTGAGGGCCAACGTCTTGTCTCTGTCTCCCTCTTCGTTGCACTTTTCTTCTTCTCTCTCCCTGCTCTCCATTTCCTCGCCCTGGCCTAAAGGACTCTCTTTAAACACTATCAAAAGCCTGCTGCAACAGGGCAACACCTGCAGGATCTGAAGACTGGCACATTGTGCTGCCATGTTGTCAAACATTTAATCCTCAACCCTAATGTTTGTAGGGGTCAGCTAATTAAGCCCTAATCAACGTAAGTTAATCTTATTACTGCTTCCCACTTTGGAGCACCTCTCACAGCTAAAGGCCTGCGCAACGGAGGAAATCAATGAGATTATAAGCAGCTGCGTTCTAGGTCAGGGTAGTCAAAGTAGATCTGTGCACAGTGAAAAATGCATGTACTCACTTAGTCTTTCTTGTCTGAGCCGTTTCAAAATTCTTGGTGTCAAAAGTAAATTGAATCAGCGCCTCTTACACTGAAACATCTTTGACACAAGCAGCGTTTGTGCTTTTCTTTCATTATCCGGATCAGCGTTACCCAATCCTAGCAGGACACACTGTCCTGTAGGTTTCAGATCTCTTAAACAGATCTTCAACGCACCTGATTTAAATCAATAAATGACCTCAACGACTTGTCATCAAGTTTCGCAGGAGCCCGTTAATGAGCAATAGATTTTCCCAGGTGTGTTTAAGCAGGGAAGTGTCTCAAATGTGCAGATCGGTGTAACCTGAGGACTAGGAAATTTACCAAACCGATAAGACCATCCTTATATTTGATCCTGTGAAAGTACAGGAGATCTTGTAATAGTTTGTAATGCACCTTATAGGCAAACCCTTTTTGTAGCAATTTCATGAAATGATTTTACACTTACGCATAAGAAATTCCCATTAAAAGGAAAAAGTATGGTCTAAGACCTCAAACTGAATGACTGCTCAGAGTTTCTAAACCTGAGCCTCTGAAATTTAAAGGCAACAGGAAGCATTTTATTTGGCTTTGCTGCCTCAGCTTCTCTTCTGTGAAAGTAAAATGTAATATTTTTATGACAGCAGTCGGACGAGAGGCTTTATCCACCACCACAGTGTTAGATTAATGTACCATCATAAGTTAAAGAGCCTTTTACACATTTCTTTGAGATTTCAACAATATTTAGCCAAAGGACAATGAATCTACAACAACTTCCCCTTTAAACATACAAATCATAAATGTCCCGGCTATCACTCCTAAATAACATTCCCAAAATGCGTTTCCTGCTTCGATACTGGAGAAGCGCTGATATTCCTTGTTGACATGCTAAAGTGGAGCACTTCTCTGAACCAAGACAGCTTCTCCTTTAAACAGTGGGACTCTGGTTCAGTGGAGAAAGAGCGCCTCGTATTTTGATCCCTCAGCTGTCAGCACCTGTGTAATGAGATCAGTGACCTTGGTGGGACACAAAGTCAAGCCTCTGTCTTGATAGCAGACACGGTTTAAAACGGCAAAGTTGGCAACTTTGTTTGGAGCCAGCATGGTATGATGTGCACCAAAAGTACATGCAAGTGATAAATACTGTAGTGCATACTTGTTCCTATAACACATGCTTTAGTATTATATCAGTTTGCCAGTTCAAAGTTTAACTTAGATAGTTTGTGTTTATACATGATTGCTGTTTTTATGGTTTTAAAAAATCTGGAATCTAAAAACCTATACCAATGAATACAGTATTATCCCTCACAAACTCAACTTGTGAAAATAAAAATTTCATTTCTGCATCTTCTAATCCAGTGGTTCCCAAAACTGCTCCTTGAGGAACACCAACAATTCAAACACACCTTATTCAGTGATTTAATTACTTCCTCTTGTTCTGCAGTTAGTTAATCACCCATTTATTAAAATCAGGTGTGTCTCAGCAGGAAACAACTAAAACATACAGGATGGTGTTCCTCAAGGACCAGAGTTGGGAATCCCTCTAATCAACAGATTCCCGCCTTTTTAACTGTAACTCTGTCTCTGTCCAGGTGGGTTATGAGGATGTTAGTGCGGCTCGTGTTGGGACTTTTTGTCCTCAAAGCAGTGTCAGCCAATCCCAGGTTTTCCCGGCAATTGGACTTGTACGACAACGGTAACTATGGCGTTGAGGAGGACAACTTTGAAGACACCTACGATTATGACGATGGGCTGACTGTTGATGAGTCTGAGGTAGGAACATTTATGGGTCCTTACATTTTGTAAGCTTTCAACATTGTGGTGTTTAATTTATGAGTAAATGAGGTGAAATAAATGTTGAAGAAATAAGGGGAAATAATGTTTGTTTGAGATAAACTGTAAAATCGAATTACTGTGAGTATGTTATAAAAGGGTTTATAATTGTGTGGATGTTTATGAAATAGTCACACTATTGTGATCCATTTTTCTTCCATACATTTGTTGGCATCTTTCTCAATCTACAATTTTTGTGCTATTTCAACAAAGCATATTTCAAAATGTTCAGCTCTTTCAGGACAATCCTGCTATGACTTTTGGTATTGGTGCAACTTTAGCTTTTTGACATATTTAGCCTTTTCTGTCACTTTTTGTCTCTTAGAAAATGAATTGAGCTCATTTTACATCCTTCAAATCTTTAGAGCTGTTTACAACCTTTTACTGCTCCTTTCACATTTTGTTCTGGTTCAGCATCTTTCAGCTTCTTTGTACAAATTTGAACTTTTTTCAGCTACTTTCAGCTAATTTCAGCTGTTTTTTTCAGGTGTTCTGTGCTCCTTTCAGATTCATTCTGCTAACTACATTATTTTTGAGCTTCCTTTAACTTTTTTCTGCTAATTTCAACGTTTTATACAATTTCAGCTACTATTTAGCTGTTTTTAATACCAATTTAAGCCTTTCCAGTTAATTACACGTTTTGCACTCATTTAAAAAAAATCAGCCTAATTCAGCAAAAATGTGCTCTCTCTACTTCCTTCTTGTAATTTCAGCATGTTTCTGCATCTTTTAGCTACTTTTCAGCTGGGTTTTTTGTTGTTGCTAATTTCAGCCATTTTTTGGTCTAATTTCAGCTTTATTTCTGAAATATTCTACTTTTGGTGCTCATTTTTGCTTCTGCCTTACTAGGCAAACATGCTCTTTTTGCTTTCTTATGCTAATTTAAGCTTGTTCCACCTTTTCAGCTACTTAAAAAAATGTGCAAATTTCAGCTTTTTTCAGATAATTTCCTGTATTTCATTGTCATTTTTGCTACCTTAATCCTAATTTTAAAAAATTTCTGCTAATTTCAGCATGTTATGGTCCTTTCGGTTTTTTTCAGCTCGTTTCAGCTTTTTTTCTGCTATTTCAGCTACTATTTAGTTGTTTTGTTCAAAAAAAAATTTTTTTTTTTTTGCCAATTCCACATTTTTAGATAATTTCCACTCTTTCCACTTTCTTCGTTAAAGCTTAACTTGTACGTTAAGCTTCTTTCTGCCTTTTTGGCTACTTTTTAGCTGTGTTTTTTGCCAATTGTAGATTTTTTAGCTGATTTTTTTGTGATAATTTCTGTTAATTTAAACCTAATGCAGTAACTATGCATTCTTTCTGCTTTCTTCTGCTACTTTAGGCTTGTTCTTCATTTCAGCTACATTTTAGCATGTGTTTTTATCTTATTTCAGCTGCTTTTCAGCAAGTTCTTCTGCAATAAGCATACACACTGAATTTTCACAGAAAATGCAATTTCTCTAGTTTACATTTGCATCTTTAAAATGCGAATTTAAACATAAGATAAAAAGTTAAGTTCATGCAGTCATTGCAGTAAAACATCTGGAGACAAACTGTCAATATGTGCTTGATTCCCCCACATTTCACTTAAGTTTGTTGAATGATATAAGTTATGGTTATCATAGATTCTTATTTGTTCAACGTCTGTTTTCAAACTGAGGTCACCAGGTTTACAGAGCAGTCAGGAGTTTTGAGTCCCTCAAAAGAGTCGATTTGGATGTAATGTAAACTGCTTTCCAGTTTTCTGCACCATTGTGTTTGAAAGTCTTCAGCTTTATGCTTTGGCCTGCAGACGGATGAAGCAGAACATGCATGGCCCTGCATGCATCTGGAGCGGTTTTAACTGTGTAATCAATCAGCTTAGGCCTCTGTGTTTGCTCTGGAAAGACAAAGAAAGAGCCATTTTTAACCATTTTCCTGATGAACATTTGGATCTTTTTTTATTTTATTTGTCTGCTTTGATTCATGTTTGTTAAACAGCTACTAATACAAGCACAACATTGCCTAAAATTTAGCTTTTTCATTGTCCTTTTTATGCTTCGTTGGCCACTTTTTCTAGTTTGAAATTTTCCATGACAGATTCAATCGACTGTGATACGGCAAGCTTTGGTTTTAACCAAACTAGTGTATCCAAGTAAGAAAATTAAGCCTGTTGTGGAGAAAACAGTCCAGGAAACATCTTCACACAGCTGCCGTCTCTTGGGGCTTTAACTGAACATGGATTAAACTCTCCACAGCTGCTGAAAACACTTAAATCATGACTTTTATGGCCAAAACCAACCAATCTTCCTTAAACTTATGAAACACTAAGAGCTTTGACATCATCATGACAAGGCAGCACTGAGGAACATTTATAGCTCCATATACAAGTTTTTTGCCTGAAAATTATTGTTTTACTTTGAAAGTACTCTAAAAACATTTATCTAAAGTAGATAAAATGTAATTGAGACTCTGTGGGAGTCTGCATTCTCATCAGAATAAACACGCTTTGAGTCATAATTGCAGCGTCATAAGGTCAGATTTTCCAAAAATCGTTTGTTTAGCTTGGCCGATAACCGGATAAAAACATGCGAGGACGCAATTCTTCAGCAGAAAGGAGATTAAACGTGTTTTTATACGCAAACAAAGAAAGTCTCAGGGGAGAAATGAGGCGGGGAAGAGCTTCATACCTCTGGAATGCTGAGTCTTTGCTTTTCAAGGTTTGGTATTCCACCTTTCTTTCTCTTCAGGGCTCGTCTCTTTACAGTCAAAGAAAACTCATCTCTGTTGTTGTTTAAGCAAATCATCTTCAGTCTGGTGCATTCAGATACTTTAATCACCATCTTTGGGTCGATTCAAGAAACTTCAGACTTTAAATATAGTTTATAGTTTAATAGTTTGCCACACTGCTATACATTTGTAATCTAATCTAATCTAATCGTTTCAACTATCCCGGAGGTCTTGGATGGGACTTTTAAAGTCATTTCTATCTGCATCTGTTTGCAAACCTGCTGCACTGATATTTATTGCATTATATTTTTCCAAAGTGCTTTCCAGTTATCCCCGAAGCTCTCTGCGAGAGTCTCTGGGAAAGCAATCATGTTTAAATGTTAACATTGTCACCAACGGTAAGTTGTTGTCTCACATTTGTGTTTAATAAAGACGGTAAAGAAAGCTTTTTTTTTAAAAAAAAAAGAACCAAATGTGAGCCGCTGCTAATATTAGGCTGGTACACCAAAAACCAAAGTTTTAAACAAAGACGCTGCCAACTCTCAGAGTATGTGTTGAGGATGACTCTCAGCTACTACCACACCAAATTTTCCAAAGTACTAATCTACTTTAATTGATTCCTTTCTGGGTGTTTCATTAAAATCGGTTCAGTGCGTCACAAGATATTTTCAAAACAGACAAAATATGCCTATAAGTGTCTAGCCAAGGGGGCTGGAGCACTATACAGATATATGCAGGGCCATACCCCTGCATATATCTGTGAACTATAAGGGGTAAATATATATTGACTTTGGACTTGGTGGTTTAATTTGAATACAACATTTGAGAAATAGTTTAGGTTTTTGGAAAATATCCTTATTTGTGTTCTTGTAAAAACCTGTATAGGAAGACCAATGCAAGGCTTTTATTGTGAGAAAAAAAAAAACTACAACCAGAGGGTAAAAGTGAGATTAAGTACTTCAAACAGCACCGCTATGATTTACCCAAACTGTTACATCTTCTTTGTTTCATTCATACAGAAAAGATCATTTGTCCACTCTATAAAGAAATGACGAATCCTAGAGGCCTAAATGTGTAAATATTTTAAATTCAGTCACCAGCACACTGATTAAAAGACAAAAGTTATGTTTCAATAAAGACATGACTTTTGGTCAGTAAGATATCAAGTGTTTCTAGAGTAAACTCAATTTGCTTCAAATATATATAGAAAAAACAAAAAGTATATTAAATTCATAGATTTAAAACATTTAAACTACATGTTCTAACATTAGCTTTATGTCTTGTGACCTGTGAGCCAAGCTGCATTGGGTTATATTGGATATATTAGGATTTAGTTAGATTTAAACTACATTTGTAGACGCATGAGTATAGAAGTTTTAGTCCTTACACAATAATTTGGTCTTTTTGTTAATGACAGTCTGCACTGTGAGTCAATGTAGCATTTATTTACTTTTATTTAACCAGGCAAATCCCATTTAGATCACAGGTTTTGGACCATTACATGTTCTGGCAGAACTGGACAAAGCTTGTGCCTAGTGGACAGTGTGAGTACTCCATCTTCAGAAGTATTACCAGTTTTATTTATTTAGTTGTAAATTCAATTCAATTTAATGCAGTGGAAAGGAAAAACTCCCTCATGAGGAAGAAACCTTTAGCAGAACCAGGCTCAGGACAAACGGTCATCTGCTTTGACCAGTTGGGTTTGAGAGGAATAGATACACAATGGCAGGTCAAGAATCACGTTAAAATAGAAAAAATATCAAATGAAAACTATTCAATTTTAACAAATAATTTAATGAAATTAGGTCAGTTTGTTCTCTAGTAGTCTAAGCCTATAGCAGCATAACAAGCCAACCTTAACTATAGGATTGATCAAAAAGGAAAGTCTTAAGCCCAGTTTTAAAACTGGACAATGTGTCAGCCTCATGGACAGAAACTGGAAGTTGGTTCCACAAGAGAGGAGCCTGATAACTGAAAGATCTTCCTCCCGTTCTGCTTTTAGAAACTCTAGGAACCGCGAGTAAGCCTGCAGCATTTTGGATCAACTGAAGACTTTTTAAAGAAGTATTTGGACACCCAGATAATAAACCATTGCAATAGTCCAGTCTAGATGTGACAAATGCATGAACCAGTTTTTCTGCATCGTTTTTAGATAAGATGTTTCTAACTTTGCTGATATTACGTTTAAAGACTATACAAAGCAAAAAACATAAATAAATAAAATAAAAAATAAATTGTGTATGTAATATGAGAATAGTGTGTTTTACATATGTAGTGTTAAATTCCTAAACCGGTTTGTTTTAAATGCTTAAACTTGACCCAAATGAAAGAGGGAGTGAACAGTAAACATCACCCCTGATGATCGTGTGAAGTGGTTCATATGTTTGCATGAATTTATTTCATTTTCTGTGCAGAAAAATGATAACACTTGAAGGAAAGTGTGGTGTTTTGTAGCATTCTGTATAGCAGATCTGTTCGTTGTGATTATCGGCTGATATAAAATACAGCAGCAGCAGAACTTCTGGTTCTGGGCTTCACATTTTGTACCTTTTACAGTGTAATCTGTTCTTCTGCTTTCAGAGATTTTATTTATTTGTCTGTTTATTTTTGGTTGCCAGCTTTTAACCTCTTCTTTTCCCTAAGGTGTCCGTGTTTGCTTTGGAGAAAAAGGAGGGGAAATGTAGGGGAGAGCTGGTGTGAACTAACTCTGTGCACGACTTTTCAAAGGCTCACCTTGTTGCATCCAAAACTGCATCAGAGCCAAACTTCAGAAAGTGACATTCAGTCCTAAATCTTTCTTCACTGCTGCTTTTAAAAAACTATTCCTCATGACCTAAATTTGCTAGATAAACTATTTGGAGTCTCCAAATGCATATGAATTATTATGTCACCTCTTGGCTCATCAGCATCTGATTATTTTTGGTAAAGATTAGTTGCATGGACTCGAATATGGATCTTTTTAGCCACCGTGTGTGTCTTGGTTCCACATGGACCATTCCTTTTTTGGTGTTGAGTCATCCCAGTGTCAGGTACTACCTCAGGCTGAGTGTGGGAGTTCATTACCCTCCTCTGGAAAATGATAGAACTGCAGGGCCCATCAAACCCCAGACCATGAAAGGGCAGCTGCAGTGAATTATTGCCACTAAAACTAGCTGGGCAGACCAGAAGCTTTTCATGAGATGACTCAAAACCTGGAATTCATAAAGGTTTGATGGATTTTGCAGCATTGTTTTATATTAAGCTACATAAAACAATGGTGTGAAGCCTTTGCCAAGCATCACCTTGTTCAGTATTTTGAAACCAGTGGAGATATTTCCACAATTTAGGGCATTGAATGTAACGTTTCTTTTCACCTCAGAAAAAGAGCAATAACTCTCAATGCAGGTCAGTGCCTAATAAAACAAAAGTTCTGAGCTGGATTTTTTTTTAAAAATGTGACAGAAAATGTGCTTTACTTGAAACATGATTAATCCAGACATTGTGTTGTCATTTAGAACATATCTTTATTCTGATAAATGTGCTCTCTCTGTGATAATTGGGCCAATTTTCTCTCTTTATGAGACCATTTCTGACAGTTTGCTGCTATCTAGTGGTGACACTTATAAGGCTTTACTTATCCAGGATTAATGGTCCAGTTTCCAGTTGCAACATCAAAATAACCTTTTCTTGGAGTTCTGTTTTTATTTAATTAAAAATAGAACGATAATAAATAATCTGAGAAAAGCACTAACAGGATATGAGACTGTATTTAAAGAGCAGACGTCATGTTTCTGCAAATCTCCTTCCTTAAGTCTGGTCCAGGGGGATATTTTAAGGAATGATCCAAAGATTGTGAGTAAACTGTACAGATTTAAAAGTTAAATTACTGGCATAAACTGAAATATTACTGAAATAAAACTTGAATTAAAAGATAAAAGAATATAATGCATAAATGTGTTTTTATATTGGGATTTTTTCTTTTGTGCAATTAAACAGAAAACAAAACTTATCTAAAAATAAAAGAAAAATCAACTGGATTTGAATACTTCCACAATGAGGTGATGTAAAAAGACAGATGATTTTATTTTTAATCTACAAATGCATTTCTAAAGTCGAATTTACTAAACAGTTTGAGCAAAATAGGAACTCAATAGCGAACTGATCAAATGAGACAAAATGAAGGGTTAACACTAGAAACTACAGTGAATGTAAACTACTAGAAACAAGTTGAGGGTGTTGATGATCTAATATGAATATGTGGAGAGATTATTCTACAGGACTTTGCTGCTGAAAACTAACGTGGAAAGACAAGAATTTATCAACAAAGCGACAGTGTCCTGGAGAACCCTCATGCCCCGCTGAGACGCATGCGGCAGAATACATCATGGATCCGTGGGAGGATTGGAAGTTGATGTGCCTTTCTGTATTGTCTCAGGAGGACACTGAAGATGTTTATATAATTGGAATCATAATAGCAGGTTTTCTGCTTTTCAGCACCGGCAGATTCGTAGGTTATCGGCTATTAAAGACGACGGCGGCAGCAGTTTTAGCCATGGCAAAGCTGCCAACCCTGTGTGAAGGTTTGGTTTGTGCTTCGAGTACTCAAAATCAGCTGATTTATGAGCTAAACTGTAAGTTGGAAGCGATTTGTGAAAATCACAGGCCACTTGCGGCTTCTGGGACTCACTTGAGAATGATCTTGGAGGGAGCTAATGAGCACGGACCAGTGGAATGCCCACAAATCTGGCCATTTTGGATTAAAAGTACCAGCAAAACTCAAGGCTGACGAGAAATAACAGTCTGCCTGAAAAAAACATGAACAACTGTGGCTTATCTGAATCTGACTCCCCCGTTCGGCCTCGAAGCAGGCTGACTTTCTCCTGGGATATGTATAAACTAAGAAGGCTCTGAAACTAAAAAGACTCTGCTCTATCGCTCC